TTCTATGATAGCAGTATCTATGGTACATTTCTATGTGTATTTCTATGCCTATTTTATCTATATCTTTCAATGGAAATAATTCAAGGTTATCATCTTAATAATGTTAACTCTCCTTGACATCTAGCTTCTGATATGCTATTCTTAGTGAAAGAAAAAAAAGGTAGAGTCCTGCCAGAGAATTACACATAGGTCTGGTTATACCTCCTGGAATGTATTGCACATGTGACTATCATCTTCCATAAGTGTAGAAAATATTGGGAATTGCTAATCTAGTTCAGTATTTTAACTGAAGCTTTTGTTTCCTTTGTAACATGCCCATTGCTTAATCGTGGCTCGACAGTCCCAGTGATGGGCAACTCCACATTCTATGTCACCATATTACATCTTTGAAGAGCTTTAAGAATTAGAAATCCTTCTTTATATTGAACAATCATTTTATTGTCTTGTAGCCTCTATCTATTAGTTGCAATCTTATTATTTAAAACAGAAAGGAGAAAATCTACATTTCTTTATGACAGGTTATCAATTATCAGCCATCAAACCTACCATAGGTTTCTTGTCTCCAAGTTGGAGACACTTCCAGGCACTTCAATGCCATCACACATGCATGATGTGAATAATCAGAGTGGGCATATGGGATAAAATATTCTTTTTTTTTCTGCTCCATATTCCCCATTTCTAGATGTTTTCAGGATCCTGTGTCTCCTCTCAAACACACTCTCAGGAAAGGCTGCGAAAGGTTTTCTCCCAGCTCAGTTTCTCAGCCATCTCTTACCTCTCCCTAAGAAGCACATTAATCCTATGTGTCTGTGTGTGTGTATTTCTTTTGAACATAAATGCATATTAGTACACAAAATGTTTTTAGGGGGTGATATTTCCAGTGCATTTAATTGATTAAATGTACTTTAATTCATTTAAACAATCCTTATAAAAGACATGTGGATTATTTTCAATATTTTACTCTTAGAAACATTCTGCATGAATACTTGCAATTGCTTAATCAATTGGTATATTCATTTTTAATTTTGACAGATATTGACAAATTGCCTTATGTAGAGTTCCAACAAAAACTTAACTCCTAACAACACTGAATGAGAGTGTCTGTTTTCCACAAGCTTGCTACCAGTTTGTTATAAAGATTTTAGTTTTTATCAAACTGGATAATTAAAAAATATTGATGTTGTAGGGGCCAAAAGAAAACTTCCCCTTCACTCTCTTGAGCGTTCACTGAAAATCAACTGACAAAAGTAAGATTAATAGGAGAAAAGACATACAAAACATATTAACATGCACACATGTACACGAGAATCATATAAAATATAAAAACTCAAAGAAAGGGCCAGATTGTTGACACTCAAGATGGTATCATCTTGAGGTTACAGAAGAATAAGGGCTTGGAGCATGGCAAGACAAGTTGAGAGAGGGAGAGAGAAAGAAAGGCAAGGAGTAAAGGCAGTCTTATTATGTAGCTAAAGACTCACAGGTAGCAGCTCTCAGAAAAAATAAGTGGCAGCCTGTGGTTGAGTTAATCATTCCCAGATCTGGATAAGGGGGAGGACCTCAGAGAGTCTGGTCGTTTATTTCACTAATGTAGATTTTTCTCTACAGATGCAAATCTGCTCCACAAAAGGCAGCTTTTCAGGGCTATTCCTGTCTCTAAATAGTCATCCTAAAATATGTCAAAAAAGTATATTTTGGGGCAAACTATTTTTGGTTTTTATTAGTCCCCCATTTAAAACTTTATTTTTGAAAATTTCACATATTAAAGCCCAAATGAGTAGCTCTGGAGAGATTCAGATAAGAAAGCTGAGATTGGCAATCTGGGAAGGACAACATAGATTGGAACTCGCAGCCCATATCTTCTTGAATCAGTTTTAGTCCTGTGAATAGGTCAGTTCTGTTAAATAGTTGTGTCTCATTTCAGATGGTGATATTGCAGATGAGCTCTCAAAGGGAGGCCTCTATAATGCAGACAAACAGATCTTTAATAAGAGATATTTCTGTGGAAATAGGAAAAAAAAACAAAGATTAATGCCTAGAGTAGTCTATAAACTAGTTTTTCTAGTTTCTGAAAGATCCTCAGTTAAAGTGGGCAAGTAATGGCAATATGGCAGATTTTCCTGGAAAGTAGTTCAAATCAAGTATTTCAGCGAACTTTCTAAGTGGTTGATGATGCATCGACAGGAATGAAATTTGTTTATATATAAGTTGCTGTGGTGATCTCTCCCTAAGTTTGTATAAATTTGTCCAGCTTCAGTTTGTAGGATTTAAAGAAAAGCAAAATTTTAATTTCTAGTGATTTTAAGTCAGAAAAGTGGGAGAAAATTTGGAAACATTAGTCTGGAGATTCATAGCCAGATACTAGAGGAGAAATAAAATTTAGGATTTAGTCCAGATTATAGATAAATAACAATTATGGTGGAGAACATATACCAAGGCATATCAGAATTTTAGGAATCTCATATAATTTTGGAACACATTACATTAATAGACATTTATACAAATATAACTCAAGGAAAGTTAAGCATAATTTCTTATTTGACAATGCTTCCTATATAATTTAGATATCAAATAAGCCTGTTTACTATCCAAAAAGTAAACCAAAGTATTTTATTATTTCTTATTAACACTATATGAAAATCTTATTCAAAAAGAGAAACCAAATTCTAGTTGTGTATTAGTGTATTTTTGATATTATGGCTCAATATAAAAATACTTAAAATAAACTTATTTAATTTTAGTCAGTTTAACCACACAAGATTTTGAAATTTTTCCCCAATTTTTGATATTCATTTAGTTTTATCTATATCTTTTTCCTTCATTTTTCTCTTATTTTAATAGCTTTAATCACATATGTCAATTTGGATTTTAACTATATAAAAATAATATGTCAAAGGATATAAGCCTAAACTTCTATTTAATAATCAATGTTTCTGTATGTTAACTTACTTAGAAATGACTCCAACAGTTAATGCTTATCTATTACTTAGTTACATGTTAAGTAATTACATGTTAATAACATTGACTTGAATATCTTAAATTACCGAAAAGAATTTTGAAATGATGACAGTTACCCTTCCTAATGACTCTCCCAGTTGTCCTAGGTCCTGAATACCCATGTAGCAACTAGGCTGGCTATGAAAGGCAGGGCTTATCTGGATCTTGAATTTACATACCAGGTACAATGCCCAGGAGAAGGGACAGAGCTGTGAAGAGGATGTATCGAAGATCTGATCCCTCCCAGCATGGCCAGAAGGTGCATCTGGGCCAGGTAGGATTGGACAATATTGAGCTTAGCTCTGCCCTGTAGCTGGTGGTCCAGGCACTGAGGACATGTATATGTCCTCAGGCCTTACCATGGCTATCTCTCCAGACCTCAGAATCTAGAGACTCAAAACCAAAGATATAAGCTCACAGTAAGATGTGTACCAGGCTTTGTGGGAGCACAGTAGCTGGCCCTTACAGTTTTAGCTTATAGGCAAATTAAGTAAGTATCAAAAATATTATAGAAGGAGCAGTTTTATGACTTTAAAACATGTAGTAGAGACAGCATAACCCTGTCTGATAGTAGACACAGGCAAAAATGTCTGAATTATATTTGATACTGACAATTCTGAAAACATTCTTATTTTATCTACAATTTAAAAACTAGCTTTATTTACCAAAGATTACCTCAGATTATATAGAGGTATCACATACACATAACACACAAAGACATACAGACATACAGACATAGCCAGAAGCAGATCTTATAGTGTTCATTAATATTCTTTATTTGCCAGCTTCTTCCTTTCATTCAGATAATTGATCTTTCAATTACTTGTTTCTTGCACTATGCAATTGTTAACTAGAAAACCCTAAATTTGCCCTTATAAAGGAATGATTTTTAGGTAAAACAAGGTAGAAAATTTATATATCAAAGTCATTGAACTTAGATCTAAACATTATTATTTGCCAAGACAAAGAAGGGCATAAAGGCCCAGTTAAGGCAAGATAGCCAGGAAAAGTACCTTAAACAAAGGTAAGGTTTGTTATGTAAACTGTAAGTCAATGCCTTTCTCGTAGTAAAAGCTTCTAATGGTTGAGCTACAGAGAAGGCGATGCTTTTGCACATAAAAATTTTTTTATAGATGTAAATTTATTTGACAAACGGTTTAAAAATAGCCACCCAGATGTTAGAAAGTTGTGTTCTGAAGATCAATTTAGTTGGATAGATTTTCAATTTAGTTTCTGTTTCTTAACTGTGTTACTGAATTCAGGGCAGAGCCCATTAATAAATAAAGTTGAACCCCCTTACAATTTTAGGTGTTCATGAAAGAAGACAGGTGACATTCAAAAGGATCGGTGGCACTTTGGCTGTTTTCCTCAAGGAGTCTCAGAGCCTCCAGAAGTCTCTTTTAGATTCCTTTATGTGATAACCAGAACTCTTATATGTCCTTTCAGCAATTTTTCATCCATTGACCACTACATGGAAGAAACAGGGACTGGAAGGGGGAACATATCAATGACTAAAGGAAAACGGACAAAAGATCAAAACTGGCAAAAGAAGGAGCCAAGGCAAATAAAAGAATGGAGTCCTGGGTGAAGCCAGTCTGGAAAGCTTCCTAAAATGGCCAATGAAATTTTACGTTTTTTGTTTTGAGCAACGATTATGCTGTGATATTGTGCTGGCCTAGAGCCAGAACCTGAGCAACACTATTTTATAAAATGCAAAACTCTTTTTAAATAAGTTGAAGTGGCTGCCCCATTCTCCTCACAATAACTACTGTCCTTGGCCTCTGTAAATAGAACTGCTAGTTTGTTCTGCAAAACTATGTAAAGCTGCTTACCTTTGCTTATCAGTAACTGCTAAAATCTGTGACTTCTATCACCACCCAGACGATGTGTAAATAAATATATATCTTGACTTCTGTAAACCACTGAAGTAACAAACAGAATGACAAGAATCCCCTATCCCTTGAAATGTCCGAAACCTTTTCAACCCCATCCCCGCCCCTCACCCCCACTCCCAAGGTGGTTTTTCGGGTATAAAAAAAATCGTGGCACCCTCCTTTTGCACCACAGGTTGGAGAGACGTGAGTCCTCTGTGGTCGCCGGCATAATAAATGACCCTGCAATCTGGCATACTTTTGTCTTGTGGTAACATTCTATGCTCCGGTCAAATACAACATTTGGAGGCCCCAGCGAGAATATTCTCTTTTTGTTATCACCAGACAAAAGCCATCTCAGAGTCTCGCCCGGGCGGCTGCTCCCACCATGGGGGCCTCTGGGGAGGCGCCCCCTCTTCTTTCCCAGGGCCCCGGAGAGCCACCGTGGAGGATAAGCGACCTCTTGGCCGACATTCACCCGAAATTCCTCAGGGTCCTAAAAGAAAAAGCCTCCAGAGGTAAGTCTGGTCTGGGAAGTAGTTCAAAGGAAGGGCCTGAGTCGGGGGACTGACGAGTCATTGCAACTCTGACCTGGCAAGCCTCACCGAGACGTCGCTTGAGGCTTCTGGTAGCTGGTGCAGTGGGTACCAGCGTTCGCTTCTGGTGGCTGTCATAGTGGGTGGCAGCCCTCTGGTAGCTGGTGCAGAGGGTACCAGCGTTCGCCCCTGGTAGCTGGCATAGTGGGTGGCAGCGTTCGGTTGTTTTCCGTAACC